AAGTAGCTGCGTTAATACAATCAGCTGACAACATGACAAAGGAAGTAGTGCACGCCGAGCCACGGACTATCCAAGATCGACGCCTGACACATATTCCTTGTGTGTTTTCTTCTTACCTCCACATTAAGAGCATCTCAAGTAGCCAGGATGATTTTGAAGATAACGCAATAGCGAACTTACGTCTAGAGAAGCGTATACGACGCTGGGCGTTTCGAAAAGCGAAGGGACGACGCCCGCAGCTGCCTCGGCGAGGAACAGTAGAACAGGACCCTGGGCGGATTTCATCTTGAGGAATAGGAGTTAGGCGAACTCTACAGAGAAAAGGATAAAGGGAAATATTAAGAGTCGTATTCTTTACTTAATTTTCTATGTTTACAATCGCATGTATGTATGTACACACACACACACACACACACACACACACACACACACACACACACAACATATATATATATATACATACATACACACACACACACACACACACACATACACACACACACATATACATCCATACAAATACTCACATGCATGTACACATGTCTGCACACACACACACACAGACATTCACACACACATATATATATATATATATATATATATATATATATATATATATATATATATATATATATATATATATATATATATATATATATATATATATATATATATATATATATATATATATATATATATATATATATATATATATATATAATATATATATAATATATGTATATATATATATATATATATATATATATATATATATATTATATATATATATATATATATATATATATATAAACACGTTAATAAGTTTTCCCTAATATTAAAAAGAGAGTCATCAAAGAAAATGAAACTTTATAGGGATAACTACACCGTTCCCATGTACTAGCGCAGGGTGCACATTGTCTTCTACTGTTTTATCCTTTTTTACACACGAACACCGTAATTGCTTAATCACTGAGAAATCAAGTATATTAGAACTAACTCCTTTTTGCATTTCTATTGCAATTATTGTTACTAAGGTGGTGAAAAGAATAAGGATGATAGTAAGTAATAATGACAAGAAGCAAATGTGCTAGACATCAAGAGTGATATAGCACTGAAGGATGATAGTAAATTGATTGTACAACTGACAATGATGATGATGGAAGTAATAATTATAGTAATGATAATAACAATAATAACGATGATGATAATAATAATATTGGCGATAATGATGATATCGATAACAATAACTATATTAATAATAATGATGGTAATGATAACAACAATATTGGTGATGATGAGGATGATAATGATAACAGCAATGATTAGGGTAGTAATAATATAATGAGGATGATAAATATTGGCAAATGATGTAGAATTATCATTGTTGTTATTAAGGTGATGGCAATAGAAATGATGAAAATGATAATGGTGATAATAACACTGATAATGGCAATAGCAATAAAGTGATTAATAATAATAGTAATGCTGTTGCAGTAACAATAATAATAAATAGTAACATATAAATGATAGAAATGATAAATATAATGGATGTATTTTTGATAGCAATGACTTGAATAATAAATATAATGATAATGATAAAAAATGATAAATAATGATAAATAAGATAATGATTATCAATAATGATCATAATGAGATAATGATAATAAAAATTATCAATAACAATAAAGTTTATAATAATAACAATCGAAATGATAACAATAATATTAATGATGATAAGGCTAATAAGCGTTGCAATATCTGGTATGACAATTGTGAGCCGCAATTTAATACTCCCCTTCTGACAACACAGATACTAACACACCCAAGATAACGATGTTCTCAACACTAAGAAGACTAACCAGAATTAACAAGCAAGTAAGCTGTTTGAAACTTTTGGTCCTTGGTAACGTTTAGGCTTTTGGTCATTTGCTGTTGGTAACTTTCTGGTATTTTTTTCTGTTTTTTCATTGCTGCCTGCGTAGTTATAGATTATGATCTGGAAATTACAAGCGTAGCTTTGAAAGAAAGTTGTGAAATATTAGTTTGTAAGTAAATAATAAGTTGGTCAACCCACACACATATGCACTTACACAGGCGCGCGCTGCACAAACCACACAACCACACACACACACACACACACACACACGCACACACACACAATCGCGCGTGCGCGCGTTGATTATACTCTAGACGAGCGGCCAGCAGATGAACGCGAACTTAAATGACTATAATTATGAAGAAAGACAAGGAATCTAAACTTTATTCGAGGAAAAAAAAGTAAATTGGATATAATTCTTCTTAACAATCATGTCTCTGACGATTAGACAAGAAAGAACAAACGTTTCCAAATATCGACTATCAACGATTGTAACATTCCGAAAAAAGTACAAACGGCTTAATAACAAACGAAAAACGACGAATAAAATCTAAATATAGGATAGGTCCCTAATTAAGCACAGATCCACCGAACATAAATGGCGCCGTTATGTACATAACTGTCCACGAGGATTTTAATTTGCTTTGTTTACTCATAGATGGTTTCATTGGTGCTTAATCATCCAAGGAGTTAATTACAAGGCCTACCTAATCTCGCCTGTTTCTCATATGGAATTTCCGGAAAGTTTGTTTGCGTTGTCTTTAAAAGTCTACCAAACTTTTTGAAGAATCGTGATAAATATGAACTTAGAACTTGCAAGATCATGAGAATGGGAATATTGTTACTTGTGTATTTCTGAACCGCATCAAAAACCTGGAGCTTGTTTATGTTCTTATGGTGTATTATTGACTTCAACATTCAATTACATCATGACGTAAGTTGATCAAAAACTCTTTGAAAAGTCTTTGAAAATGGCAAGCAAAAGACCTTGAAAGTTTGTGTATTTTTTCTGCCTTAACTACTATGAACCCAATCGAAGCACTCAGAGACGCACATCTCCGTCAATAGGAAAAAAATATTCACACTTGAAGAATTACATTGAAATCACCTCTTTCTCAGGTACACTGGTGACGTTCGTGTTTCCTTATCTCGCAATGCTAACGGATCCTTTAAAGAAATCCTGGATCCGAATCATGATCAACAAAATTTAATGAGATCTAAGTCGAGGGGCATGTCACTACGGAAATCCCGTACACCCTACCTGGAAATCCGCAAAAAAATCAGGATCCTTAAGAAGTTCTTAGGAAATCTCAAGAATCCTAAAATTCATTCCATTCGTAGCAACCTTTTACAAAATCTTGGTAATGGTACTAAATGCCTTAAAAATCGGTAAAAAAAGTGTCACAAACACCTGAGCAGTTGAAGGGAAGAGTGCTATGTTGAGGCCACTGTGCAGGAGCTTTTCCTTAGTTGCAATGAAGTCCGATTAATAAACATAACCACAAAAAAACGTGTTCAGTACCTGGTCCTGATCATGATGGTAGTGGACGATGGTGAAAGTCGAGATTGAAAATAATTCCCCAAAATTGAGAATTTGATTTATTTCGATTTTCCGGTCGTTTATATTTTCTCGCGAAAATCCCGGAACTCGGATGCGTGACGTCAATTCCAGAACACGATCACAGCCTTCTCTGCATTCAATACATTGTAATTGGCGGACTCACTACAAGACTACAGCGGCAGTGAAATCAGTGAAGTTTCATCGGATTATTCCGATTCCATTGGTAAAAGTTCTTCAGACGGTGCCTATGTCATCGAAGAGTTGGAAGAAGTATATCAAGGGTTGATGGTTGTTGGACCGTACAAGCACGAGCCCGATGCTGTGATGTCATGGAAGTTATGCCAAACAAGCCAGACATGGAGTGGCGTCGAAACCCGAAGAGATTGAATGAATGGTGATTTTCTAAATATTTTTTTATGATCGAACGTGTGATCCCGTTTCTATATTGTACAAAATTTCCGTAGGTTGAGCAATCTCTTGCCTGCACCCGTGGCGCAGGCCTACATCCATTCGCGAGTGGAGGGGCATCGGTATTTACTTGTGTTGTGCTTTTTGGGGTGTACCTACCTCTGTGTAGTAATACAACTGTACATCACCATGTACGTCAGTCCATATTGGATCAGACAGCAGCTGATGATGGCGTTCTCGAGAAAGTAAGAAAGAGCATGTTTCTAATCATGTTTTGTTGATATGTGTCTGATGATGGGGCCTGTCTCTCAGGCTATCCAGTGCTTGTTTTATTAATTATTCATAAATGATTTGATGTATATATTCATGTACTGATGACATCAAGATATACCTCTTCATCATTTTTTTTTTTGTATTATTTATTTTCTCTGGGCAATTTATGATAACCATTGAGGATAAAACCAGTTGAAGTTGTAGTAGTAATTATAATGATAATTATAAGGATGAATATGAAAATGAATACGATAAAGAGAAGGGAGATAGAGATAGCATGTGAAAGACGAGAGAGAGAGAGAGGGAGAGGAGGGAGGGAGGAGAGAGAGAGAGAGAGAGAGAGAGAGAGAGAGAGAGAGAGAGAGAGAGAGAGAGAGAGAGAGAGAGAGAGAGAGAGAGAGAGAGAGAGAGAAATGCCAGGGATGGAAAAGAAAGAAAAACAAAGTGTCTAATGCATATTATTTTAATTAACCAGGAAAAGTGAATAGAAAGGTAAAGAAAAGAGAGGGACACACACATTCCTCTATCTACACACGCACACACATACAGAAAATGAGACATACAGATAGACAGACATAGACAGAGGGCGAAATGTGCTGACAGATTAAAATTTCTATGGTATATTTTTCTGGTTTTGCTTATTTTGCATAATTGAGAAAATGTATTTTTAAAAAAGATTGTTTATAGCTTGAAATTGGGACCATACCCTGATATTCTTGACTCGCGGTGCACTATTGTGTGTATCACGCTTTTCATCAAGGTTCTCCCTGGTTCTGGGAATGACGTCACTAACGGGGATTGCCGAAGATCGCCGATGTTTTGCATCTTCGTTTCTAAGGGCGTTGCTATGGGAGTTTTGGGGATACCAGAGGGTCTCTTCGATTTTTTTTTTTTTTTTTGCATGAATAGGCTAAGCATACATTATTGACCAATATTCAAGGAAAAAACAATGCACAATAATTACTTCACATAAGCCTTTTAAGAAAATATTTACCACGGCCGTGCGTCAAAATATACCGAACAAACTTACATATCATCAGACGCAGAAATAAATGCAGAATATTAGAGATATACTCAATTGGTTGAATAATAATAGAAATTATTTATACCAGATTTTACGAAATCGAACACCCTTGCGAAAAAGTGCAAACGAACCATTAGGAACGAAACACGCCCAGGTCTGTCTGTAATCT